ATAGAAATAGGCTGATGATTCTAAGAAATTTGCTCATATGTTTTGTGTCTTTCTTGAAGCATCCTTGTAATCAGGGCAGGTCCAACTTTGTGGATCTTGTCATAGTTTGGAAAGTTATTCTTAAGAAAAATAATGTAAATATACAAATATTAAATATTCATTGATTGAGTGAAGAAATTCCTAGCGCCTTGGAAAGGCATGTCCCTTAATTCTAAGTTGCTTTAGAAATTCTTGATTATTTCCTCTCACTCTACAATCCCAGTGATCCCCAGCACTGTGGTGGAGGGGAGTGATGGAAGTGGGGCAGCGAGACCCACATGTAATAAGATACTCTGAGTTGAAAGTTCATTAACTTTATGATAAATCCATCTCTGCTTGTAATAGAAAAATATTTTAAAAACCCAAAATACTAGCATAATTAGGGTGAAAAAATCATACTGTAATCATATAATGGGATGTTTAAAAAGGATAAACCAGAGCTACACAGGTATATCTCAAAATCTAAGTTGTAGAGTGAGGCACCATTTATTTTAAGTTTAAAAATATGCAAAACAGGCCCTCCCTGGTGGCGCAGCGGGTTAAAGCACTGCACTGAGAAGCTAAAGCCACTTCAGCATGAGTTCGATTCCTGCCTGCCCTGGAGGTGACCACATGGCGTGGCAGACCTCTCCTGGCCCGCCCGCTGCTCCCCTCAGCAGTGTACTTCGTCGATCTGCCTGCTCTGTTCCCCGCTCTGTCTCTGGTGAAGCCTCTCACCGCCCCTGAGCCTCTGGCCTGTACCCCAGTTCTGTATGCATAAATGAATAAATCTTAAAAAAATATGCAAAACAACACAGGAGACCATTTATAAATACACGTGTATGTACACATACATGTGTATGTACACACATATGTGTGTATGTAATTAAAACATGGAAATGATAAACACAACTTTGGAGAGTGGTTATATCTACCCAAGAGGAAAGGAGGGAAGTGGAATCGAAGAAGGGTGCAAGAAAGATTAATTGTATTTGGGTTTTTCTTTTTTAATAATAGAGATCTGAAGGAAATATGGCAAAGCTTTAATATCTGGTTTGACAAACCTAACTGGTAGAAACCAGGTTTTATGGCATTGTTCTCTCTCAACTACTCTAGGTGCAGAAGAGGGTTGATATATTTAGAGAAAAGTGTCTTTTGCACCAACCAGGAGAGAGGATGCTTTAATTCTAGCAACAGATCTCATTCCTCTATTTTCAATATATAATTTGTATTTTAGTAAGGTATATTCATAGCTAAAATAAATAAATCTTGAGATGACAGCTCATGCTGTGTTTACAGATGTGATAGAGGTAAACCCTCCAGACTACAGACCAGAATATTTTTGACTCCCTTCACCTTTGCCTGACTAATATTCATCCGCTAGTTTTGGCTTAGATGTCACTTTCCTAGGAAAATTGCCTTATTACCCCAAGATTTAGTTACAAATGTTTTTCTGTTTATTTTTATTGATCATTTAGCTATCAGCTCCTTGTTCTAGATTATGAGTTCCAAACTACAAATGTGATTTGTTTTCTTGTTCTATTAATGTGCCTTTCCATTTTTCAAAATAAGTTGCAGTCACGATAATTAGCTCCCTCAGAAAAACCCAAGATTCTTTACAATAGTCATCCACTGCTTTTCTACATCTCATGTTTCCATAAGTTCTGCATCTAATACTCCGAGATCATGACCTTGAAATCAAGTTTTGGGTGTTGGCAATTTAATAAGTAGATTCAAGTAGAATGATAATGCTAAATGCTGTGTTGTACTCCATCACAGCATGGGGCATCAGAACAATGCCTGCCTTTTCAAAACCCTAAAATTTTACAAGTTAAGCTGAAACCTGTCAAGCCGAGCCTAATTAAAACTTTCCCCAAAGCTGAAGAGCACTGCTAACAGTGTTTGTTGCACAGACCTGCAGCATCAAAAGGTACCTAACTGTAGGATGTTACTTTTGGTAGTAACATCCTACCCACTTTGAGGCATGCCATGGAGTCCAGGAATTTTGCATTCCTGAGAGACTTGCAAAAGAAGGCAAGTGCTCTTCATACCATAGTGTAAGCAATGAAAGGGGTATTTAATTACTGCAGTCACAAGTGGGTAAGAAGAGGAACTCTGGAGCAAGACTGCCAGTATAACATGGTACAAATTTGAAATATTTCTGAGCTTCAGTGTTTCTCAAAAGTGGAGCTGATGATGCGGAGCTTACTTGAGAGGGCCACTGTGAGGTCTAAATGAATTAATATGTGAAGAGTTACTAGAAGACAGTAAGCAGTCTATAGCACAGCCATCATGATTACTGACATAGCAATATATTCATTTTTGAAAGCCAGTCTGGCTTCTGCCTTGACACTTGGTGAAATTTTAAAGGGGAAGTGATAGTCCTACACTAAAAAATAATAGCATAAAAATGAAATAACACAAGATAACAGAGTGGTTTGAACTTCCACCAGACATGTAAAGACTACTGTCAGTTTTCAGTAATATACATTTCTAGTTAATTATTGCCAATCTTTCATTTCATGCAGTGGTTCCCTTGCCTTCAGCATACTTGTAGGTAACAATCCCTATTTAGAAAATAATTAACCCTTTGACTTTACCAAGCAATGGAGGAGAGGATAAAGGAATCATAGTCTTCACTCTGTGACTCAGACTCCAATTCTTAAGAAACACTTCTGGGAATGGGGTGGAGAAAAGTGGCAAGAAAGGCAAGTGGCTTGGGTAGCAAGTGGGCCAATTGTTCACTTTTTTTGGTCAAGGTGTTATAGGGCACGCCAAATCTGTTAGAGGACAGCAAATCTGTTATAGGACAGGGAGAGAGGGACACCCCTGAAGCTCCAAACCTGCCTGTTTTAAGTGGGTTCTGCCATCTGCCACAATAAGACAAAACATATAAAACTTTAATGAAAAAGGGACTTTAATACAGTGAATATACAATATGGAACAAAAGAATATAACTTCTAAATCAAACACCTGAAGTTCCCATCCCCTCATGGGCAAAATTCAATCCAAAAGAGGTTGGTCCAAAGCAAGGCCTGAAAGCCCGCCACAAGACTAAAGCACCTTCTGGCCGGGACCCATGGAAAAGGGTCAGAAATGTCCAGACAAATCTGGGAGGAAAAGAGCAAAATCAAAAATCAATATAAACACTGTCATAGTCACCTCCTTACAGGCAACTCACCCACATCTGCCTTAACCAGTCCAGGGTCAGGAAACAAGCACGGTTTCTTCATCACATGCTTGCTGCTCCATGTGGCTTTCTCAGGTCTCCTTCTGGCTCTCCATCCAGCTTCCTTCTCTTTTTCACTTTTTTCTCTGCCCAGCTCCACCCTCCTTCTGGGTGGGACAGGGAACCCGGAGCTTCCCCTTTTCCTAGGGACCACTCTGTTACAAAGGTAGTATAGTCAAAGAGGAGGTTTGAATTGGGAAAAAGATCATTGCTATGAACCCCAAATTGTCTCTTGTCTTCTTGATTTAGCAACTAATACTCCAAAGGTGAACTTATATATA